TATTTTTATGAGCCCCAATTTAAATTGGAACATCACAATCGGTCCAAACATCCATTTCAAGGCGATGCGAGATTCCAAGGGCACTTAAAATGGCCCCTAAGCGTTATTTTCGCGAGGAACCGAATTAGGCACGACTCCCCCTACCTTCCCCTTAGGCTGCAAGGGACCCATCGGTTCCGAAGGTCCTTTTTTGGCCCCTTGGGGCCGACGATCAAGAGTCTGATTAAAGGGTCCGAAAGGCAGGCCAGAGGTCGTATGGCGGGGGGGGGGGGGATCACAGCCTGAAGGCGGACCCTAAAATGTAAGAGTAGCTCTAGCACTGATCGGAGACCCGTGCGACTGTGTCTCTATTTGAAGCAACTGACTGAGAACAGCCGCATCGAACAGTCCGTTCCGTGCTATTCTGGGGCGTAGCGGTTATTTCCCGAGCAGAGACAAGGCCAAGATCTCCAAATGCCAATTAGAAGTCATCCTACATTCGTCGGCACACCTGAAACAATGAAGGACCCATATTGCTGGTCAGTGACCACAGTCTCTAGCAAGAGACCATGTGTCGGCAATGAGCCCAACCAGGAGCACATTTGCTGAACAGGGACGATGATGGGCCCCGTATGCCAAATAGCCCATTGTGCTGGTCTGGACCCTCCTGACAATGAAAGGATTCATGAGAAATGACAAAAGGGGATTCTCATGAACAATGAGACAGTGGAGAGGTCTGTGCCAGCCATGGACACCAGAACCGGACGAAGGATCCTCTGCACCATTTCAACCAGGGACCGATAAAGCGAATTAGTGTCTCGATGCCAATTATTGGACTTCCTGTGCCAGTAAATTGTCCGTTTGCATCAGCAAGGGTCCTGCGCCGATCCGTTGCTGGATGTCTCAGTTAGAGGGCCAGCCGCATCAAGGAGGGGACCGGTCGTGATGCATCCTTCTGAGGGTCTCCGTACGGTTCTGTGGGCTATCACTAGACTGAAAGCCGCTGGGGACCCCAGGATGGGACGTAATGCCTTCAGCTGCTGGCCAGAATGTGTTACCAATGCAATTTAGTTGGCTGACAAGTTGATTCTCTGAACGGGCTCAGCAGTTGCAGGATTACGAGCAAAAGAGATTACGTCATTGCGCCTTCCCATTGCGCCTTCCCGTAATCCGTCCCGACTACCAATTTAAAAATTGCACTAGTGAAACATCAGGCAAGGGGACACCTTTTAAACGCACGTCCACTGACTTCATAAAGCGTTGGAAAGTACCGATTTCGATGCGTGGTCATTTTCACCCTTGTATTGACCGCTGCCAGGTGTTGCTGCCAGGTTCCGTATGTTACAATGGTGTAACTACAACATTTTTGTCCCGATCCCTCACAGAGCACCTAACGTAGGAGTCACCAAGGAATCACGTACAGCCCGACCACAATACTCTCCTCGCGTACCGAGCGCTTACACAAAACACTGCAATTTTATCATCTACACACAAAACAATGAAACTCAACATTCTGAATGCATTAATCATGCATGACCACAAACAACTTCTAAACAAAGAACTGAATCAAACTATCGAATTATCTCTCCGGGGCAGCATCACAAGTAAATCACTCCGACAAGAAACAAGACACTGATGAATGGCGCGGGTACTGGGTGGTTGGCATGCGGTGTTGTGATTTGCTGTGTTGATTCTGTTATCCACAGTATGTGCTGCTAATGATGTCTTCTGCGCGGCTAAATAATTGTTTGCTGTTGCCAAGTCAAAACGGCAGTGAGTGCTGTCCAGTGAAAAGTTTAGTATTGGTTTGCATGCTCGTGTTCTATACTCTTATTTAAAGTGTTATGTATGCAGTTCGTATACGGGAACCTAGCTTGCTGCGCACAGCCCTAGAACACTAGGCGTGCTTTGAACGCAAATACAAGGAGCTTGCTCATCTTCGTCGGATCATGGTGGATTCTGTCATTTTAAGACTAACTATTTCGGAGAAAACATGGCGGCATACACTTAACTTGGCTGCTAAATACCATCAAAATCAAGCACGAGCTTAATTCCTAGCTTATACAAGGCTAGCCGGGTAGTTGATGAGATCAGCTAATGGCTGAGGACCAATACAGAGTTTTTGCTTTGTCTGTTGCAAGGGAATACAGGATATCCTATCCGTAAAAAATATATTAAAACGTAACGTACAGGTATAAAAATCGTCACAAATTCAATAAACAATGGAAATAAGATGCACGACGTCGGCGTGTGAAATTATGCTCGGCAATGACAATAACGAATTCATCGGCGTAGTCGCCACGGCCGCAAATTCAGCCATAAGTCGGTAAGAAGTAAAGCCCCAATAAAAATGATTAAGCTTTAGGTCCCGTCAATGGCGCAGGGCAGGCCCTCCTATAATATGGAAAAACCCGCGACCAATAAGTACGGCACCTGAGCAATCGAAACTACCGTGGCAGGCCAGCAAAGAGGCTCCAATGAGCAGCGAAGGGTTCTCATAACAAGCGAGAAGAACCTAACACCAATATGGTGGGACCCTTGAACGATTGGGAGCATCCCGGCAGGCTAACATATAGGGTCCGGCCGGTGTACAGGATCCCCTGGACAAAGGGCACTAGCCGAAGATCAGTGTACATGAATTAACACCCCTGTGTGATCAAAAGTGCCCGGGCAGGTAAGCAGAGAGACCTCTGACAAGTGAGAGGTCTTCAGCAAATAAGCTCAAAAAGAGAAAGACCCATAGGTCAATGAAGAGGGCCCCTGAGCATCGAGTGCCTCGGAGCGTTACCATATATGTGGCCCCAGCAACAGCACGGGGTCCTCCAGGCAAGTGGAGAGAACCTGATACCTATATGAAGGACCCCTGAGCAACCGAGTGTACCCTGAGAAATGGGGCCCAGGCAGCAGCGGCGGGGTGGGAGAGCCCGCTTACCCCGTGGGCGCAGCGGTTCCTGCCGAACCCGCGCCGCCCGCCATGTCTCCGGCCGCGCCGCCGCTCGGCGCATCTGCGCCCAGTCCGCCGGTAAGCCCCTGGGCGCGGTCGCACCCAGGCCGGACACGGCTGCCAGGCGTCTAGGTAATTTATATTAACCATGCTTGACTGCACGCATTACGTGATTATCAGTGGAATGCCAGGTTGACTGTGCCATCTGTTGACAAAAGAGGGAAATAGCGGCAGGACTCAAAGATGTTTCTGCAGTGTTATCTAGTGGCAGGAATCCAAACTAGACTGATTGTCACGGATACTGGACGTTTTGAACACTGCACTTTACGACTCTGGACTTCGCGTCCCTGGACCTTATGAACGCCCCCAATGGGCATGCAATTGGACGTTTTTTTGGACGTTATGAACACTGGATGCTGCGATCCTGGACGATATGAACACTGGACGCTGCGATCCTGGACTTTTTGATGGCTCCCCTTGCAAAACATCAGAAAAATCACCACAGAAAGAAATAGCGTCCGTTAAAAACCCTGAATTGTCAAGGCCACCCTTCAAGGCCAAACGCGGGCTCAAAGGACGGGGGAATTCACATGACCCAAAAATTGCCAGCTGATTTTAAACTTGCAAACACCAAAACATACACCACAGGAAGAACTAGCGTCCATCAAACTAGTTCCCGTTTTTTTAGCCCGCGTTTGAGTTTGAAGGATGACTTTGAGAGGTTAGGACTTTTTAACGAGCGCTAGTTCTTTCCGTGATGAATATAATAATGTTTGCAAGTTTACAATCGGGGGTAATTTTGGGGTGATATAGAGTTCTCCGTCCTTTGAGCCCGCGTTTGACCATGGAAGATGACCTTGAGAGGTCATAACTTTTTGGCGGGCGCTAGCTCTTGCGGTTGTGAATATTTTGATGCTTGCAGTTTACAAATCGGCCGGTAGCTTTTGAGTGATATCGAGTTAACCATCCTTTGACCCAGCTTTTGATCTCGAAGGTCACGTGATTTTTGCAAAATAGAGGTCATTTTCGATATTCTCGTATCGTAATTGAGCTTGAGGCCTCTTTTCAAAGAAATCGGAACTCGTCGCTGAATAAATCGCCGAATAAATCACTAACTTCACGGACATGCGGCTCCGGCTATCCATAAGGGCGGGCCGCGCGTTTGAGGCAGCGCCACTCGGAACAGGTCCGGCAGTCCATGGGGACGGGTCATCCCTTCAAGGCAGTGCCGCTCGGGACGGCTCCGGCCGCCCGCGGGGGCTGGCCGCGCCTGTCACCGAGGGACCATGGCTGGTGACTGCCCGGAAATGTTGAGAGCCAACACCCACTTAACCTTCAAACGACCCCAGGTAACCGCGGAGCTGTCAGACAGCGTGGAGCCGCCGCCGCGCAACCGTCAAAGGCGCCACGACGCGAAACCGTCATGTGTCCGACAGAACGTCAGATGCGCCCGCTGAGCCGCCGCCCGACAGACCGCCATATGGACCCCTGGAGCTGTCATCTAGTGTTCCCCTGTTTCTTTGCTCGTAACCCAAGGTCACCATCTTCTGGAAAGGATTAGTTGTTGACAATAATGCATCGATTCATAGAGGCTTTGTCCCAATTGGTCCCATCGACTCGAAGTTGTTAACGTCAACAAGTTGTCAAGTTGTCAACTCGTTGTTGTCAACAGAGAGAGTTGCGTCTGTTTCTGGCGTTTTGTCTGGTCTGCGACCTGACCCAAGGCAATATTTTCTGGAAAGAGCGGAATGTCGACACGGCACATCGACTTGTAAAGGTTTTGTTGTGATTTGTCATATGGGACCTTGAGACTGGGGAGGGGTGGGGTTGTCTGGAGGCTCATTTGTGCAGTAATTTTACATTTTCGGTGAAATTTTACCTCATACAAGGCAATGATCTGGCTAAAAATAGTAAATAATCAGTCAAGCGGCATCGCATAGCTATGACTCTTTTAGCTATAACTCCTGTGTTCGAAGTTTTGGGTTGTCAACAAGTTTTGCCTGTCATTTAGTCCCTCCCTCGTTTAGTCCAATCCCTGTCGATTGCGATCCCTGCGTCAGATTTGAGGTGACTCGCCGCCTATCGGTGACTGCGCAGCGGTTGTATGTTTGGGGTTGTAATTGGGGGCGTTTGTTGGAAGAAAATTTATTTCGAACTGCAGTAACCATTGCAAGGATGTCGGCAACTGAAACTGCGGGGGATGAATCGCTATATCCTATTGCAGTTTTAATTGACGAGCTTCGTAATGAAGACGTGCAGGTAGGTGTCATATTAGCTTATCTCTTGGCAGTGAAAACTTATTTGGTACTTTCCAGGCAAGTGGGCAGAATTTTTGTTGTTGTGGTCTTGTCTCTAAATATTGTTATGATACAGTACTGTTATGTTTTTTTTCTCAGTGTTTGCTTGGAAACTATGATTATTGGTATTTTGGCATTGTTGAAAAAATGTACAGGCTTTCCTCAGCCTTTGGCATAGTTGGCGATCAGCTTATCTCATATAATTATCTGGAATGCCATATAATTTTCCAGAATGGTGTTCACTTCAGCCAATATATACAGCTAGCGCATATCCACGGCTGATTTTGGTGTGTTTTAAAGGGAGAAAGGTATACAACAAATGATAAGTTGTCTGAGAATTATGTGTGGAGATTCTTCATTTATATCCAGAATAATCCATGTGCAGTTCCAGAAAATATCCCCTAGTTTTGTCTGCCATGCTCATTATGCAGCCAACAGTCACAGTCAATAAAAGATTATCCATCTTGACCATGCCCTGTAAAGTGTGCAGGGTTCTTCTTCAGCATGTAAAATTGCCTGTGAAACCTTCATATTGACAGTAAAAAGTACCATTCCTGGGAATTTTTTAGCATGTGATGCTTACATAGGAATGGTGAAAAGTTGTGACTGTAGGTACATTCTCAACATTCTGAAGCTTTTAGAATATAATTAAAAGGCTGATTGTGCAGATGGGGCATTCACATTTACCACATCACTGTACCCACCAGAGCATGCCTCTTTCCATGAGGGATGATGGTGATAAAGAGAAGTTATCTGGTTATCAGTAAGCCATTTCTGGATGAGTGAAGCCTCAGTACAGAAGCTGGAGATACCTGTCATTATACTATGACTTTTCATCCTTCAAATATAGTAACCTTGAAGTCTTCAAATCTTTACCACTTCAGCACTGCTGTATTCTCACCATAGACATGGTTAAGGCACTGGGCTTTTGCAGTTTATGCACTGACCTCTCTTGTTGTGACCAGCTCCGGCTTAACTCCGTGAAGAAGCTGTCAACAATAGCACTTGCTTTGGGAGTGGAGCGCACCAGGAACGAGCTAATTCCATTCCTCACTGAGACCATCTATGATGAAGATGAGGTGCTTTTGGCCCTGGCTGAACAGCTGGGCAACTTCACCAAGCTTGTGGGTGGACCAGAATATGTCTACTGTCTCCTGGTGAGTGTCTGGCCATTTTGGTATGTCAGCTTTTGCATGTGTCATTCAATTGTAGTTGGTCCTGTTTTTGAATGCATGTCTCATCTGACTGTCAGTTTGGATTTGTGCTGTAATGGAAGGAATGTGGTCATCTGGCTGTCAGTTTTGATTTGTGCTGTAATGAAATGAATGTGTCAATCTGATGGTGATGTTTGAGAACTATTCAAGGGTACAGGCAGAAACACAACTAAAAGCATTGATCTCTTAAGATGCTGGTGCCATACAAATTCAAAACCCTTCATGCACATCTGGAAAGTTGTGCTGTCTGAAATTTTTGTCCAGATTGCATTACAACTGGTCTCTGGCAAAAGCCACAGAATGTGCAGGTTGGTGCAGCATTGTGCTATTCCAATGTGGTGCTTCTTCTCAGCACTGGGCTCACAACTGTCCTCTAGCCAGGTTTTGCAGGGGATGTGAGCTTTCTCTGAACCCTTGCAAATTTACACCAAATTATTGCAAAATTGCTTAACTTCTTGCGTGCGTGCGTGCGTGCGTGCGTACGTGCGTCTGTCCATTGTCCCAGCCAGTATGGGTGTGACCTGCCTGTGACCATCGTCCTGGCCTGTTGGTGTGACCCGCCTCCGACCATCCTTCCAGCCAGCACTTGAGTCGCTGGCGCAGGTGGAAGAGACGGTGGTGCGTGACAAGGCAGTGGAGTCGCTGCGCGCCATCTCTCATCAGCACAACACGTCCGACCTAGAGGCGCACTTCGTTCCGCTGGTCAAGCGTCTGGCATCCGGTGACTGGTTCACCTCCCGCACCTCCAGCTGCGGCCTGTTTGCCGTCTGCTACCCGCGCGTCAACGACAAGCTGAAAGGTGGGCGGCCGCCGTGGCCCATCGGCCGCGCTGGGGCGGAGCGCGCTGGACACCGCTGGGGTGCTGAACCCACGCGAGTCGGCGGAGTGTGGTCACTATGTGGTCACCATTGAACATGGAATGATCGAATCGACGCTGTCGTTATCGCCGTCTATCGTCGTTATCCTAAATCGTGGAATGGGACAACGCACGAGTAGTCGCTTTTTAGCGGTATATGTGTGTGTGCGTGTGTATGTGTGTATGCATATATATTTACATTTGTTTGTCTGTGACTGTCTGTGCATGTATGGATGTCTGTCTTTGTCTGCCTGTCTATCTGTCCAGGGATATAGTTCTCTCGTTCAGTGAAAATATGGGTTCCAACCCCCCCCCCCCGAGCTTGTAGGCCATCATGGAGAAAGCTTTTCATTTGTTTTTTTTTGTGGGAACGGGGGTAGGCCACATCGTTTTTTCTCTGTTTAACCCCGAACTCACGTTACGAAACCACGCCCCAGTGTCTGTCCGTGCGCGGAGCATTTTGTGGCGTTCAATCTTCCGTGAATTGGGCTGGTCTAACCCACCCAACCTCGGTATTAGGGCCTCCACGTTGTATGCATGTGGCCCAAATTCTGTTATTGTCTCTTGCTGGTGCTTACAGTGCTAGATTGCCTGTGAACATGGGACGCCCGCAGAGGCCGGCTCTGAGATTGGGCCACCATTTAATCGGTATACATGCCCTGCAGCCGAGCTGCGGGTGAACTTCCGCAACCTGTGCCAGGACGACACTCCGATGGTACGCCGCGCCGCCGCCAGCAAGCTGGGCGAGTTCGCCAAGGCCGTGGGCGTCGACCACCTGAAGTCCGAGATCATCCTCATGTTCACCGACCTGGCCGGAGACGAGCAGGTGCGGCTTCCGAGCCAGTCCAGTGGGATCTCTGAGTCAGACTTGTGGACCAATTTGAGCCCTCAGGTGGGACCTTTGAGCCAGCCAGGTGGGACCCCTGAGCCAGCCAGATGGGATCTCTGAGCTGGCGTGGTAGGACCTCTGAGCCAGCCAGATGGGACCTCTGAGCCAGCCAGATGGGACCTCTGAGCCAGCCAGGAGGGACCTCTGAGCCAGCCAGGGGGGACCTGAGCCAGCCAGATGGAAGCTATGAACCAGCCAGGAAGGACCTCTGAGCCAGCTAGGTGGGCGTTCTAAACCAGCCAGTTGGACCCCTGAGCCAGCTAGGTGAGCGCTTTAAGCCAGCCAGGTTGGAGCTGTGGATCAGAAATGTGAGATCTCTGGGTCAGATATGAGTGGATTCTGAGTAAGGCATGTGGGGCCTTCTAGTAAAGACAATCCGCCTCTCAGCCCGTCATCAGGCGAGGTGTCAAGTCAACAAATGTGGGACGCGAGAGAGCGAGAGCGAGAGCAAGGGGGGTCGGTACCGGCGTGCCATCGTGATACTAGAGGTTGTCGCGCCACCCTGTGCTAAGAACATACGCGTTTGTAGTTCGCCTAGTGAGTTTTCGTGGTTGTGCTTTGCAGTGATCCTTTGCTTAAGTGGATGTCACAACATTTATGTTTGTATTGTCTATCAAGCAGTGATGGGGGCTAGTATTTCTATACATGTATCACCAAAGTGAAAGTTTCAAATGTGTGGTTCATGCATGGCAAGTGTCAGTATCAGCGTCTGGCCGATTCTGATGCCACTGCTTCTGGCTGACCGCCGCTGCGTTCTCACGCGGCACAGGACTCTGTGCGGCTGCTGGCGGTGGAGGCGTGCGTCAGCATCGCCTCGCTGCTGACACAGGCGGACGTGGAGCAGCTGGTGATGCCCACCCTGCGCCAGTGCTCCGAGGACCAGTCGTGGCGGGTCAGGTGAGCCGCCGCCACCTCCAGCGGCCAGCGGCCAGCGGCTGCAGCCGCGCTGCGCCGCTCCGGACTGCCCAGGCCACACGGCCTGCGCCAGGTTGTTAAATGTTTGCACTGTCAGGGAAATGGGGAGGCAAGTATTTTTCGTTTCAGTTAATGGGCAAACACGACTGATGTGACCCTTGTCGTTGAATGGCTAAGAGACGCCATTGTCACTATGAAAATCTTCCCTTTTACTTGACTGTATACGTGCAAGCACATACCAAATCTTAATCTCCGCCCTGGTTGGGAAACAGCAGTCCAACCCTGAATCTCTAAATCAGAATTCCCAATCTGGTCCGAGGCAGCTCGTGAAACCTTCAATCCCAGTCTAGTCCGAGGCAGCTCGTGAAGCCTTCAAATCAACCGGGGACGGTGGCAACGCTCCAGAGTCCAGCACGGGCCGAAAGCTGGAAAGGAAAGACTGTGTGTGTGCTGGAGTTGATGTGTGCCAGTTGTGTGACACTGGTGCGTGTTCCCGTCTCAGGTACATGGTGGCAGACCACTTCACGGAGCTGCAGACGGCCGTGGGCCCGGAGATCACCACCGCCGATCTGGTGCCGGCCTTCCAGTCGCTGCTCAAGGACTGCGAGGCCGAAGTGCGCGCCGCCGCTGCCCAGAAGGTCAAGGACTTCTGCCTCAACCTGGACCCGGCTACGCGCGAGACGCAGATCGTCACGCACATCCTGCCCTGCGTCAAGGTCGGTGCCGGCCCCGGCTCTGGTGGCGTGTGACTGCCGGCTGACACGGGGTCGCCTCCCAGCGTGACTGCCGGCTGACACGGGGTCCGCCTCGCAGCGCGACTGCCGGCTGACACGGAGTCGCCTCCCAGCGTAACTGCCGGCTGACACGTGGTCGCCTCCCAGCGCGACTGCCGGCTGACACGGAGTCGCCTCGCAGCGCGACTGCCGGCTGACACGGAGTCGCCTCCCAGCGTGACTGCCGGCTGACACGTGGTCCGCCTCGCAGTGCGACTGCCGGCTGACACGGGGTCCACCTCGCAGCGCGACTGCCGGCTGACACGGGGTCGCCTCCCAGCGTGACTGCCGGCTGACACGGGGTCCGCCTCGCAGCGCGACCGCCGGCTGACACGGGGTCCGCCTCGCAGCGCGACTGCCGGCTGACACTGGGTCGCCTCCCAGCGTGACTGCCGGCTGACACGGGGTCCGCCTCGCAGCGCGACTGCCGGCTGACACTGGGTCGCCTCCCAGCGTGACTACCGGCTAACGCGGGGTCCGCCTCGCAGCGCGACTGCCGGCTGACACTGGGTCGCCTCCCAGCGTGACTACCGGCTAACGCGGGGTCCGCCTCGCAGCGCGACTGCCGGCTGACACGGGGTCCACCCCGCGGCGTGACTGCCGGCTGACACGGGGTCCACCCCGCGGCGTGACTGCCGGCTGACACGGGGTCCACCCCGCGGCGTGACTGCCGGCTGACACGGGGTCCGCCACGCGGCGAGATTGCCGGCTGACAGGGAGTGCGCTCCACGGCGCTCCGGCTCATGTTGGCTTTGCCCTTCTCTGGGGTTGACGTGGGTGCAACAGCCGTCTGGCCGCTGTGGTTACCACTGACATGTGACAAGCCCGCGCCATGGTGTCTCAGACTCGTTGCCAGTGATGGCATGCGTTTTTCCGATAAATTAGGCTCTGTGCAGCCTCTGCCGCGTGCCGTCTGTAGTTCTTGGTGCCGTTTTCGCGCCGTTTGAGTTGGGTGCGGACCTGAACCTGGTCGGAGTCGGTGACACTGACACCGGCTTCCAGGACCTAGTGTCGGACTCCAACCAACACGTCAAGTCGGCGCTGGCCGGCGTCATCATGGGCCTGTCGCCCATCCTGGGCAAGAACAACACGGTGGAGCACCTGCTGCCGCTCTTCCTCAGTCAGCTGAAGGACGAGTGTCCGGAGGTGCGGCTCAACATCATCTCCAACGTGGACTGTGTCAACGAGGTCATCGGAATACAACAGGTCAGGGCGTGTGGCGGGGGTACAGAGCGTACAGGCCTCTTGGGACAGGTGGTAGATCATGCCATGGGTTGTACGTCTGCATCATCCGTTGGCGTTGTTTTGCATTCCTGTATTGCCTTGGCGTAGCAAACATGGTCCAAAATCCGCAAATTTGTGTGTAAGTTCACACCGACGTGCAATTTGTTGGAGGTATCGTTCGATTATATTCATTGCTTTGGGGCTTTCGCGAGTTTTCTGTATATGCTTAAGCAATCATTCATAACACGCATAGAACGGGGAGCTATATGTCCACAGCCGTCGGTGCGACCCAAACACTTCATTTAACCCACGGTAACCAGCAACACAAAGAGCATCTGCACACCCAGTAAAGGCCAGAACGTCACAGGCGAGCAGAGGTCTCGCTCAGACGTCGCCTGAAAATAAATGGTCGTGCGCCCAATGGGTGCATGACATGGGCTAACTACACTGCTTTTAGTTACTTCTAGTTCCGGTTCTAAGTACACTACACTCTTACTGGATTGAAGGAATTAATCTCGAAATCAGGCGGAGAAGTGTGCTACAAACGTCCACTCAAATCCATTGTTTTTCACGCAAAGGCTACTCCGACACATCATAAGTATTGAGACATGGGAAAACGCCAATTTTCAATATGAGTGTAGGCATCAAGGATTGTGGCTTGAGGTTGAATTCTCATTCATTTTGACTTATTTTAAATATCAAAAATTAAACCATTGTCGTACAGGTAGTTGTCGCTGTATGTCTTTCAATAGTAATGTTTCACGACCTGATCCCACAAGCTAGTCGCATGCCATGGGTTAAAGTGGATGCAGCTCAAAGCATAGCACACAGATTCAGCTGATGTATTTCATTAGCAATCTTTGTGCAGCCTTGGACCGAGGTAATGACTTAACAGCCATCTACTTGGACATAAGTTAATTTTTGTGTGACAAGATATGGCATAGGGACCTCCTACTCAAATGCGAGAACCACTGTCGTTTGTCAGAAACTCTCCAAAATTGGATAGAATCATATCTTCCAGACCGCAAATAGATCAAATCAGACAACGGTTTAAGCACACCTAGGGCAATGCATGGTGGGTGCCCACAGCAGTCGGTCTTGAGGCCTCTCCGCGCCTTTATGGATCTCAACGATCCAGCCGATAAGGCTGACTACAACATGTTCTTTGCCGACGATACCACAATATACACAGCACCCTCACACGACCCGGCGGGCACACAAACGTCCCTTTAACACGACTTGCACAGCATGCAAGAAATCGGGAAACAATGGGTCATCACATTCAACGCCATGCAAACAATGCATCACGCATTCACCAACAGGAACACACATGACGCACCGCAGCTGGCCTTTGATAGCCACGACCTCTGTCCGTTACAAGCTACAGTCACCTTGTAGTGACGATATCTACTGACTTGCACTTTCATCAGCAGGCTGGTTACACCATCGCCAAAGTCAGTAGAGCCCATGGGCCTCTATCTAATATCGCGGCTTCTGCGTGGGTCTGGCGTGTCCACCGTCGCTGGGCGTGGGTCTGACGTGTCCACCGTCGCTGGGCGTGGGTCTGACGTGTCCACCGTCGCTGGGCGTGGGTCTGACGTGTCCACCGTCGCTGGGCGTGGGTCTGACGTGTCCACCGTCGCTGGGCGTGGGTCTGACGTGTCCACCGTCGCTGGGTGTGGGTCTGACGTGTCCCGCCGTCCCTGGGTGTGGATCTGGGGTGTCCCGCCGTCGCTAGGTGTGGGTCTGACGTCCACCGTCGCTGGGCGTGAGTCTGACGTGTCTCGCCGTCGCTGGGTGTGAGTCTGACGTGTCCCGCCGTCCCTGGGTGTGGGTCTGACGTGTCCCACCGTCGCTGGGTGTGGGTCTGACGTATCCCGCCGTCGCTGGGTGTGAGTTTGACCTGTCCCGCCGTCACTGGGCGTGCGTCTGACGTGTCCCACCGTCGCTGGGTGTGGGTCTGACGTGTCCCGCCGTCGCTGGGCGTGAGTCTGACATGTCCCACCGTCGCTGGTTGTGAGTCTGACTTGTCCCATCGCCGTTGGGCGTGAGTCTGACGTGTCCCGCCGTCGCTGGGTGTGGGTCTGACGTGTCCCGCCGTCGCTGGGCGTGAGTCTGACGTGTCCCACCTCCGTTGGGTGTGGGTCTGACGTGTCCCGCCATCGCCCTGCGTGAGTCTGACGTGTCCCGCCGTCGCTGGGCGTGAGTCTGACGTGTCCCACCGCCGTTGGGTGTGGGTCTGACGTGTCCCACCGCCGTTGGGCGTGAGTCCGACGTGTCCCGCCGTCGCTGGGCGTGAGTCTGACGTGTCCCGCCGTCGCTGGGTGTGGGTCTGGGGTGTCCCGCCGTTGCTGGGCGTGCGTCTGACGTGTCCCGCCGTCGCTGGGCGTGAGTCTGACGTGTCCCACCGTCGCTGGTTGTGAGTCTGATGTGTCCCACCGCCGTTGGGTGTGAGTCTGACGTGTCCCGCCGTCGCTGGGCGTGAGTCTGACGTATCAGTCGCCGCCAGCTCTCGCAGTCCCTGCTGCCGGCCATCGTGGAGCTGGCCGAGGACACCAAGTGGCGCGTCCGGCTGGCCATCATCAACTACATGCCGCTGCTGGCCGGCCAGCTGGGCGTCGAGTTCTTCGACGAGAAGCTGAACCAGCTGTGCATGACGTGGCTGGTGGATCACGTGTTCGCCATCCGCGAGGCGGCCACCGTCAACCTCAAGAAGCTGGTGGAGAAGTTCGGCTGCGACTGGGCGCAGAACGCGGTCATACCGAAGGTGGTGGCCATGGCGCGCGACCAGAACTACCTGCACCGCATGACCTGCCTGTTCTGCATCAACGTGAGTCTGCCGCGCTGGGCCCAGCGCGGCCAGCGCTAGCTGCTGCGCCCGTATCCACACGCCCTCTCTTCGCTCCGTTGTAAAAGGACACAACTTACCACTTTTACGACGTTAAATATGTGACGTGGATTCAAAGTCGTTGCGTCTCTCTTTGTAGATTGCCTGAAATCTGCCCATCATGTTGAGTGATCGTTTGGATTGGCGTGACAGAAATAAGGGTCGAAATGAGACACACGCTGTCTATTAACCCGTTAAACCATTGTCCGTTCGCACCCTTGGGGCAGAAGTGGTCCCTTAAAATGTCATGATAAACCGGAAGGTGGCCCTAAGGTCTTGCGCAAAAATGGCCCGGAGCCGACTGTGATCCAAAGCTACCTTTGAGAAACATTCCATACATTCCATACACACCGTCTTATGGAATGACGAGTGAAATCGAAGTGAAGTTAGCGTGCTAAGTCTGCCGGTTTACCCATCAGCCACAGCGTGAGACCAGCTGTCAGACCAGGGGGCGTATGGATACCAGTGCGATTACATCTTGCTGCCTCCGTTGAATTGTTTTCGGTCCCGCGTCGTTACGGCCCGTGGCTACCGAATGTCCCTCCGCATGTATGAATATCCGCCGCGCGTGTACGTGATGTACACGATACTTGAAAACATCAATTTCATGGTCCCAGCCTGCCCGGTTTAGGCGCCAGCGTAGTGTATACGGGATTGATTTCGAAAAACGTGACATTGCTCAGCCTCCACCAGGCCGTTTTCCTCTGCCATACGAGTTTTGCAGCGGGTCTGAGCTGCCGCCGCCGCCTGCTGCCGCGCCCTGACCGCATCCAAACGATGTATACTGACACTCAGTTGAAAACACCAACGCTACACACCAAGCAAACAATTGCAAAGGAATCGACGACACGACACGCACTTCTCTGTCATCTCCAAAGAGAAGGCTATACAGTGTAGCCTTCTCTGGTAGTGCGCGGATTGAAGTAGTGCGAGGATTGAAGTAACTGTGAGATCGAAACTGGCGTTTCCGGAACATTTTTTTTGCACCACACGGCACCCGGAAATGACGCGTTCCCTCAAATTGGAGGCATTCAAGCGTGAAACGTCCTGACGTAGCGTGATGGCAGCTGAGCGGTCTGTCGATTGGGTGTGGCCGGCTGCATGCCTGACGCCTGGCGACGTGTGTCTTGACCTGACCTGACTGTGACCTGACCTGCGTCGTCAGGTCCTGGCGGAGGCCTGCGGTGCGGAGATGACGGTGAAACTGATGCTGCCCACTGTCCTCGGTATGGCGAGCGACCACGTGGCCAACGTCAGGTTTAACGTGGCCAAAACACTGCAGAAGATGTGCCCTATCCTGGAGTCGAGGTGAGACACTGGGCAGGCTGCTCGCCTGACGCTGCCGGATGGCGACCAGCGGAGGGGGGGGGGGGGGGGGGGGGGCTAGCGCTGCCGGCTGGCGCTTGTCACAAACGTACGGCAGGAGCGCGCGGCCGGCGCAGTGTGTGCAGCCGGCCTGCCGACCATCTCCTGTTGGTGCGGAACCCGTTAGCCATGTGCACGGACGTGCGCAAAGCTGCCGTTCACCTTGTAACTGCCGCCATGGGTCCGTGGTTTGTCGCAGTACGGCATTGCTTGTTCACCCTGAACGGGCGCGTCTTCTGCAGTGTACCACGTGCTGCCCGGAGCCGTGGCGTTTCGTTCGGGGCACGGGTGTCTTGTCCTGCACCTCTACTGTCAGCGGTCGGCCCCAAACGAGTGTTTCGTGACATGCGGCCTAGCCACGCCGCCGACGCAGAGCCCCTTCTGTTTGCAGCGTGGTGCAGGCGCAGGTGAAGCCCGTGCTGGAGAAACTCAACTCGGACGCCGACTTCGACGTCAAGTTCTACGCGTCGGAGGCGATAGCGGGTAAGCGACAACTAATACCACATAAACAGCTAGTCACCTGGCTTGTGTGAAGGAGCGAGCATTCGCTGATCATTTATAAATGATGTCCGTGGCCATCTTGCGAATGAACGCTCAGCAGGACTTGTTTGGCAGATAACTGTCTAATGGGCACGTCTGAAATAACTCTAATGGGCACGTCTGGGTGAGCAATTGCGAGAGGGAGGGGGGGGGGGGGTGCAGGGCCGGTCCAGGCGTGGGCTCCCTGACCTGGAAGAACTGCCGCGTGTTGGCGTCTCTCAGCGGAGCGTCTAGTGTCTAGCGTCGTCCGAACCGTGCGGTGGTCACTCCCCATTCTATGCAGGACCCGCCTCTCATTTTCAGCGCTGGGATAGGCTGGCTGGCCGACAGGCGCCGAGCGAGGGGTGGAGCGCCTGGCCGCGGCCAGGTCGGGCTCAGCGCGGCGCTTCAAGCGGGGCGCCGCCAGAGCGCGTGCGGGCGGATGGCAGTGTATGCGTGTTCACGTGCGTGGAGCTTGTCCTGTGTGCAGCGCGCCCAGGGCGCGACTTATGTGGGGGCGAAGTCGTGGATTGCGTGCGGCGGGACGTGGCTTACGTGCGCAAACTGTCGGAGAACTTAGTGTTTAGCAGCCTGGTACCGCGGACCGCTGTTCGTTACGCCGATGCCGGATGCTAGGGCCGGACGGGCCCGTGAGGTGTCTGTGATCGGTGGAGGGAGAGGGGGGGGGGGGGGGGGGGGTTCTGATCGGGTGATAGGAGACTGGCTGACCGGGCAGACCGAGAACGACGTCGGGCTTGAGTGAGTGGGCAGGCGCCAGCACTCGCCGTTCTATGGCAATCCGTCGTGCATCCCGTCGTGATTTTAACATTGGTCCTTAATCGAGTGTATCGCAGTTGCAAAATAAACCGTATGTCAATGCCTGAGTATTTATTTAGCCTGCGTGGCTTTGAACAATGCCCCGTGCCGAACGCCCGCGCAGCGAGCGGCCCGCACAGCATTGCACTTTGAGACACCAGGTAGCGAACAGCACGCGTTTGTTAAGTGTCGCACACGCTGCCACCCATTAAACACGGACATAAAACGGCAGGCGCCTACACAAGCGTTATTCCAGCGTCGTGCTGGCCCGCATGCCCCGCCCGGGGCCGCCATTTGAGCTCGGATTTGTGGAAGATTGGCGGCCGTAGTGGTGCGGCAGTCTTTGGTAGTGTTGGCGCCGCCGGAGCCGCTCCACACCTGTGACGTCAAGCGCGCGCCCGCCGCGCCGTCAGGCCATGCGCTGGTCGGCGTACAGCAGCGCCCGCTCCAGGATCTCCTTCTCGCCCAGCCGCAGCGTGACGGCCAGCCGGGCGCGCGGCGTCAGCGCGCCCGGCTCGGCCAGCAGGCGGCGGTCGTCGGCGGCCGGGCCCGGGTACAGGCGCAGCAGCAGGCCCAGCCGCGTGTGCAGAAAGCGCCAGGCGGTCGTCTCCAGGCCGTCCGGCAGGCCGGGGCACTCGTCCGAGCCCAGCTCCGACACGTTGTCCGCCAGCAGCCACTGGTCCAACGCGTCTGGCGGCCACACGCGTACGCTGATGTCGGGCTCTGCCCACGCAACAGCACAGGCCACGCCGGCGTCCGTCCGCGCTCACACGTACTATCACTAACCCCCAAAGCCACAGCGCGCGATGCCAACTGCTACGTACGACGGCGTTGCATCAGAAACTGATGGAAACGGCCCCTGAGTCGCCCATTAACACACAAATTTAACACACGCTGGTCTATTGACGTCATGGGTCGGGTTCGCTTTACCACACGGCCTCTCCGCCATTCCTATACGACTAGTACGTGGACCCACGCTCCTATGGCTTCGCCCGTCGTCTGGTCTGACCTGCGTCCATATTGAAGACGCGCAGGAAGGCGAGCAGCGAGGCGTCGATGGGCGCGCCTTCGCGGTGGAGGTAGAACACACCGCTGGCCGGCACACCGAGTCGCTCCAGCAGGCGGCAGCGCCGCTGGTGCAGCGCGTCGCCCCGACTCACTCCCAGCCGTACGGCCACCGCGTCGTGCTCGTTGTCGCGGTACACGAACCTGCCGGCCGGCGGCGGCGTCGCGTGACGTCACGTGGCGGCCGCCGCCCGGCCGCCGGCTGACACAACAGGTGACGGCCACTGCCGAAAGAGGCGCACGGCGCACCACCCGGCGCTGTGCTCACCGGCCCGCCACCTACCCGTTGTGCAGCAGAAACTCGGCGTTGGGCCGCACACCGTAGAAAATGAAGAACTGCTCGCCAGCCTCGAAGTCGCGCGAGGCGTAACACACGCTGCCGGCCTCCTCTTGCAGGTAGTCCGTAGACACCTGGCCGACGCAGCGAGGCGTTAACACCGGGTGACGCAACACACACTCGACCTCCTCCACAGTGGGTGTTTACCTCGAGCGATGAACTTTACACACCTCTCCGCATGAGCGAAACATCCTGCCGAATCCCGGCCCCAATTACCTCGATCACACGTTCGCAAGACAGGGTCGGCGAAGGACGGCGAAAGCGGCACAATGTTTTTGTCGATGCAGCGTGCATGGCAGTATCCTATCGCGAACTGCAAAGCTACCAAATTAAAGTGATGATGATGATGATTTGTATTTTAAGGCGCGCCAACACCAAAGGACATTTTACGCCATTGTCGGCTATTAGGCAGTGTTTCTTTTGGACTAGAAAAGAGTAAATGCGGCTGAATGAAAGCCCAACTTCTTAAATAAATAAAACAACCGACTAAAGTAAAGCAATGCAGAGTCGGTTCTCAAAATGTCACGATAAGCCAGGGACAGACATTGTCGCCAGACATGACGCAAACGTTTTTTCATGAGATGTGAAGAATATGATAAGCGGCCATGAATATGTCAGGGGTGAACCAGAAGGCCAGGCACGACTTCAATGGGGCTCCTATCGCCGCCACGGTGCCTGTAGTCCGAAATCCGAACCCTGGGCTCCCTCACCGCATGCACCGCTTTTGGGCCGCTTGTTCCGCACCGAGGGTCCCTACTCACTATCGCCGTCACGGGCCCCTGACTGACAGAGCTGAGGTCCACCATCGCCTTATGAGGCTAAGTGACACAGGAGACTCTCTGGCTAACATTCTGGGATCTTGGCCTGTTTCAGTTTGGCTAGTAGGTCCCTGACCTACACACGCCTCCGAGGGATGCAGAACAGATTCTAGGGCCGGCGTTCGCGTGCCCTGGCTCTGCCCTCACTGGGCTATACGGCCCCTGGCCGGCACGGGCCCCTGTTCAGTATTGGGGTCCCTCTTTCCAGTGCCGGACCCCGAGGACGGCAGTGGGACCCATCGATTGTTCAAGGGCCGAGAGCAACTTCGAAGGAGGTCACCTGACTGACATTCTGGGGCCTTGGCCCTGTCCCTGATCCTCTTCCCAGACTGTACTCCCATTGGCGCGGGTCCCGGGCAGACAGAGGGCCTCTCATTGCCTCAGGGGTCTCCTTGTGACGTAAGAAAAGCTACAGGATATTCCAGAGACATGGCTCTGCTGCTGTTCAGATGATAGGCCCCGGCTGGTACGGAGCCCTGTTCAATGCCGGGCATCATCTGTTCAATAACAGGAGCCACCTGTTCAATACCGGGGTTCCCTGGATGGCAGAGGACAACTCTTTACTTCAGGGAGCCCTCGAGCGACACATGAGGAGCCTCCCTTCCAATCTAAGGTCCTGCTCCAGGCCCTGTTCGGCATGTGGGCTTCAGCCTGGCACGGGGCCCCTGTTTATTGTCTGGAGCCCCCTTCTCAGTTTCGGGCCCCTGGTCGAGAGGGGAATATCAACGTTTCAGAGGCCCCGAATGCTCCGTTCAGCCAACAGGAATTTTGGGAGCCCCGGCCGATCTTTCGGGCCGGCCGGCCTCAGCCTTCTAGCCGTCCTTGGGGCCCCTGAGCCCTCACGGGGTAGTAAATGGGGCAGCCCCCCCCCAAAAAAACCCTTGTATCCGCCCCTGGTCGTAATACCATAGAAACAAGCACATAATGTTGCACAGCACTCTTGCGACAGGAGACGTAACAAACACCAGCAGAAGTATCACACACACGCGCGCACTGGCAGTTTCCTTGAACACCTCATCATTACAGCTGTATTTGCACCGGTAGCGTGGCACACTCACAGCACACACTCACTCTGTGAGCTCCCTCCCGCAGGTCGTCTCCGGATCCCTGACTAACACCAGATTAGCACTGGGAGAAGTGACACACACACGGACAGTGTCCCTCTGCAGATGGTACACGGACACCGGGCCACGGCAGCCTCGACCTGCAGACAAGCCGGCGCCGAACGCTGCTCACTGACCCGTCCGTTGGCGTGGTTGCAGAGGTCCCAGAAGGGGATGAGGCCGGGCACGCCCTGGCCGCGGTCCTCCAGCGCCGGGATGTTGTTCATCCGGGTCATCACGGTGGACGCCGCCCACCTGGAGGGAGCAGTTGGCGTGATAAAGCGGAACGCCTCAGACCATGCGGCGCCCGACTCGCCGACACGTCGCTCAGCCACAGGGAACAGCTGTAATATGAGCCGGCCCGTCGTCAAGCGCTTTGAACTGTAGGTCGGTTGCCCTGACCTGAACAGCGCCGATCGACCCTGCTAGCGGCCTGCGCCCGTGCCGTCAAGTGGCCGGCGGCGGACCGAAGCCAGGTGAGCGCGCGCTACACCCTGCCGAGACGGCACCCGTCACGCCGCACTCTGCTGAGACGGCACCCGTCACGCCGCATCCCTCCGGACCGTACTCGTCACGCCGCATCCCTCCGAGAAGGCACCCGTCACGTCGCATCCCTCCGAGAGACACCCATTACGCCGCATCCCTCCGAGACGACATCCGCTACGCCGCACCCTGCCGAGGCGGCACCCGTCACGCCGCACCCTGCCGAGGCGGCACCCGTCACGCCGCACCCTGCCGAGGCGGCACCCGTCACGCCGCACCCTGCCGAGGCGGCACCCGTCACGCCGGGCCGGTCATCTGACGCGCCCGTCCGGCTACCGCGTCTCACCCGACCAACGTTATGGATAGGTCACCTAAGACCAATTATCGTAGCAACAAAACCGTGTGAAAAGGCGGTAGTCTTCGCTTGTGATGTAAACAAGAGTTCGAACTTTGGATGAGTAAGCCGAAAATCGATGCATACTGTTTGGATGCTGGCTCGCAAACGTGTTTATGGGCGCGTTTAATAAATGTGGACAGCAGATTACATCACACAAAAATTATTTGCCGCCCGGCTTTTCTCACACGTTTGTCGTCGGTCCGACGGCATAGATTTCACGTGAGGCAAAACATATGCTGGGTGCGCACAATCGCCACGTTCCGCGGAGAGGTCGGCGCGACCTCACTCGCCGATTTTATATCCGATATGCTTCAACGAGCAAGAAAGGAACCGGCAAGGTCCCTGCAGATCAACTGCAACCTTTTAATCACGCTACTTTGCATTGTCTAATACGCTTGGCCTTTTACGGAGGGTCAAACGAGGTGGAGCTGAGTTTTACCATCGCTACACAGCTTTGCACATGCTCGAAGAACAAAGCCAATTCAAGTCAAAGTTAACAACCATCGACTTCTTGTATGTAATGAGAGGCCGAGGTATGGAAATGCGGGGCCATTTGAGATTGCCCCATATTTCATGGCCTTTTCATGAACAGTACATTGCGCGTTACGATTATGTGTACAATGGTGGTAGCACACCATATAATCAGGGCTACCAACACCACATTGGGTGTTTTTTCTTAGATTTGGGCAAACGTGACCTTGCATTTAAATAACTCGCATCACTGACACACCTGCCGCTTTGGATCATGTCACAAACTTGGGGGCGGTTTCATCCCTTTCAAAGTTTCATTTGAAGTGACCGTGGAGTACAATGGCCCAAACAAAGGTCACGGCGCGACCATTCATAACGTTACAAGAAA